CCAGCACCGTTACCCTTGAAAGTCGGAACGCAGTAACGCTTACATTACTGCTTTACGGCAGAAAAGGTAAGATGGCAGTACTTGCCTGGACGAACCCTTTCACAAGAAGCTCTACCAATAAAGTTGGGCCTGTGGTTTCTGTCTACAGCGAAAAGGGCGATTCTTTTTCACATACGCTGTTTCAGTACGTGATTTTCTTTTGTTACACCAGAAAAAAATCTTTTGGGATGATTCAAAGCATTGCAACATTTACAGTTCATCTATAGTATCAAGTATACTATGTATAAATTAAAATGTCCATGCTAGGAAAAGCTTATCACGACATATTACTACGCCACAGACCTTACAATTAATAATTTTGTTTCTAATTGTCATTGTAATAACAGAACTATCATTACAAAAAACGTTAAAAGGTATAAAAAATACCCCTGAGAATTGTATTTAAAATTACGTCATCAATGTTTTCTTTCTAATCAATATTTCCACGAACATATAAACGTATTTTACAAATCGTCTGTCATATTTGTTACATAAATAACCCATATAGAAAAAAATGTGTGAGTTCTATCTTTGCAAACTAAATCTTTTCTGCCACTTGTTATAAATCTGTGAAGTTTAATCTTAGCGTGCGAATCCAATATAACATGCTGACAGCGTCTGATTTCACGGTGTGTTGCCGATTGGACGCAACCTAACTCCTCAACCTCGGGTTCAATATTTAGGTGAAAATAGAAGATGATTTAGTCTAATGTTTTTTTTTCAGTTCTGTACCCATTACTAAAAAACTTAGACTTAGTACGTAGTAGATATACCTATAAAGAAATTCGATAGTATTCGTTCGTATTTGCGAGACAAAAAGAAAGGATACAGAGAAAAACACTTATATCTACTTAATTAATTATGAATATAAAACTACTCTATTTGCATACTTTACAGTTACCTGTGTTGCTAGTGGTGCAATTCTACGCAGGACGCTCCTGGGTAGAAATTATTTCTACTCCTAAGCAGTAGTAATTTGAGCATTACTGCAATCCGGTTTCGGAGGACTCTCCTATCTTTGCGATTAAAAATCTTGCCGTTAGACTCACGACTTGTTCGTCCCATCGTTTGATATAAAAAAAAACTTCAATGATTTGTCATTGATTAAACATTATTTGAGAGATTATAAAATGATTATCACTAATATCAGGTTTCTTACCACGGTATAACTTCTTTTTATTTTCCCGATATTTCGGAACGGGTGGTACGGAGAAACCATCTTCCCTGTTGAAATTAGTATGTTTTTTAATTTCAATGGCCTCTCGCATCCTGGGTAGATAACGGACTTCTTTTGCAAGGACCTTGCAAAAGAAGTCCGAGTCCTTGAGTTTGGGATTCAGTATTTCCTCTAATGAAAAATCCCAAACAGACGTAAGACTTTAGTACTAATTAATATGTTTATTCTAATTTCTATTAATAATTAATAATAAATTGAACTTAATAAAAATTCATTCGATAAAATAATTTGTAAAACTTAATATAGCGTAAATTGGAATGTTTTCTTTGTAAAATTAAAAATAAGGTATTTAATTAATAACTATTGTAACTATAGTGAAAAAAATAGGGTGGTTTGCATCAGTATTAGACATAACTGGTTGAAGACTGTACCACCTCAGTCAACCGTGATCATGGGACCTGTAAAGGGCCCGAAACGTCGGTTTGTTTGAAAAAACAAATATACGTGATTTAAATCCGGAAAAATAGTTTCATTTCCTATGTCTGTTAAACCTATGATATGGCTAAGTTCGATATTAAGTACCAATCAAGTAACTAAGATCACGTGGGAAGGAATCATTTAAGATGCCTTTATCTTTGCTTCAAATCTAGCAACTGCAACTGTTGCAAGCGTGTCGCTTGGCATCAGGTATCAGCATAAAAAAATTAAGATCAAGGCCCTACCTATTTCTACCGCAAAGCATCATTGCTGCGCTCCGAACCGAAGATCATAGAAAGCTAGTAAAATAATAAGTACAAAATATCGTCGCCATTCTCAAACTCGTATCTTAAAGCACAATGTTACTGAAATGCAAAAATGGATTGTATATACAAATTTTACAGCTTTTCACCCTTGATAAAAAATTTAAAATAAATTGAAAGTTTTGCTATCTTCTGAATAATCACTCTTTATACGAGTTTGAGAAAGTAAGACATAGATATGGAATCTTATATCAATTATATCAAGCTCTATCTGGTTAGGCAGGTCGTCGTCGTCAAGTATTGGTCCAATGTGAGGTATACGATTATTCACTAGAGGCTCCTAGGTCCACGAACATGTGTCTTGCCGATACTCACCTACGGTGTAGAAATATGGACGCTCGCTAAGCAAATGCACAAAACACAGGTGGCATATAGAGCGATGGAACGCTCTATGTTATGCATTTCCCTCGTGGATCGAGTACCAAAACTCGGAAATCGACGAAAAACGAAAGTCGATGACGTGCGTTATCGCATCACGAGGTGAAGGTGAAGATGGGAAATTTGACTAGACGAGAAGACGGACGATGGACCAAAGCAGAATGGTGGCCAAGTGGGTTAATGTGGGGTGAATATGATGATGAATGAAAAGAGGACAATTTGTAATAAATACGAATGAACAGAACAAATGAACCAAATAACTAATTGTGTCTTGGGAAAAGAATGCAAAAACTTTACAATATAATGATGATTCTTATTAGAAGCAGGGATAATGTTATGTAATAATTGCATCATTAGTAAAGGCGATTGCCCTCAATATTGGTGTTACGAGTAAAATCGAAGCAATCATAGTCAATATGGCATGCGGACTATTCTAGTCTTTGGCGAGTTGCCGACTTCGACAGCGCGGCGACGAATGGCGCTCGGCAGTTGGGATTCACTTGGTAATTTCATACTGAAATTGTTAGATTTAACTCTAGGAAGAAAAAACTAAAGAAAAAATATAGCCCGCTTGTTGCACTTTGATTCTTTTTCGTCCTACAATTATTTTATAGCTGCAATAAGATTGAAAACAAAATCTAATTACTGCGTACGTGCGTATAAAACTGCCTGAAATAACTTACAACAAAAACGAATGTGATAATAAGTAAATAATTCAAAATATTTGGCGCAACTCAATTTATGTACTTTCATTTAGCGCCATCTTTAATGCTATTCGGATTTCACATAGGAAAACGTATCAATAGAAACATGACTTGGACTCAAACTACAACAAACTAATACACTTTAATACCACTAGGTGGCGTTGAACGTTTCAACTTTCTTCGCAATCCAGTGTTGTCGAGCCAGTCTGTTAGATGGCGCTTTCGCGTGTTATATTTTAGATAATATGAAAATACTGCAAATGAATAACTACCATTAATCACTAAGTATACATTTTTGTGTCTTCCATTATGAAGTACCTATCTATATACTAAGGCGTAGGTGGAGCTCTGTTAAATGTTATACTTGTTTATGTTCATACACAATCATCTATTTTGGTTACTTTTTAATACTTACATTACAATGCCTCATCTTTCATATTATTCATTGGTATCTTCTGTTACATTATGCTATACCTATACAAACACTTAGAATTAGACATTGGTTGAATCCAACCGGATCGAAGGAATTTTTTCTAAGGTTCCGTATTTGTAATAGATAATTAATAAATTAAACTTTAATAAATAAAAATCTTTCTCAACTGAAGTTTACGAAAAAAAGTGTACCCAGACAACTAAATCGATTGCCTTGTCTCAAACTAGAGAATTCCCTGTACTATGAATACCAGAGCAAGGGAATTCATTTTGGGACACTACCCAGAAAGCTCATATCAGAACCAATTCAGAAAAGGTCCTATAACTAATCCGCGTCTTCCTTATCCAGCGCCCACTATATAAACCGTTGGGCCACTGAGTTGTCTAATTCAATGAAAACAAAATCACATGTCCACTATTTTTTTATTTAAAAATAATATAAATATAAAAAAAGTAAAATAACCGGTTTTTTCGTTTAACTTTTTCGTAAACGATTATATTATGGAGAACTGTATACGTTTTTACAATAAGATTCCGGAGCATATATTAAGATTACCATTTCCTAAGTTTAAGTTTTTACAAAATTGTAGATTACGTGTTAGTTAAAGATGTATGGAAAGGCAACGTGAGTCTAGATTCCACACAAATATGATTCAAAATGTATTCTCTGGTTCTTCTCAGGGAGGTCAGTGCAGTGAACGAGCTGTAGTTTAAAAAATGACGTTTTCAGGTGAAAAATGGTACCTATGGAATAAACGATTATTTGACTTAGGCTTTGGCCACATTTTTGAGAAAAAAAATTGTTTTTGTTTATACATATCTATCATCATATTTTATAAAATTGCAATAGTCTTACTTAATGTTTAAATTGGACAAACGTAAGACCTAGCTACCCTATGGGTATATGCCTAGCTCCCAAACTAGGATCCCCTGCACTATGGTACAAGGATATATGGTACTCGCTCAAACATGCTCACTTGCATGAGCTCGTAAGGTTCATCCGTCTAACTCAACTTACGCAGGTCGCACACTCACGCAAACCTATGCACACTCACACGTAGCCTTGCTCACACAGATCTCCCGTACGCACTCATCACACGCACTCTCACATTTTTTCTCTCTTTTTTCCTATTATATAATTCGATTCTATAGACCTATAAATATTGATCAGAACTTCTGGAGGTGGAGGCTTGGTGACCTAAAACACAGGGTATCCTAGTTTAGGCTCCAGCCTCTACGAATTTTCCTTTATACACTCCTATTATGTCATTTAAATTGTTATAAATTTGTGGAGGAAATAAAGAATTTACTTACTTACTTACTAGTCTGGGAGGCACATCTCTATACCTTGTTTGTGTTTTTTTGCAATAAAGTTATTTGAAGGATTTTACAATTTAATTTAAAACATTTCACTAAATGTGTACGTGACTGTATATTACGATATTACAAGCAAATATTTTGTTTACTAACCTGGAAGTATTTATTGACAGCTGGTTCATAGGCAAGGAGTTGCTGAGCCCTTGCCTCATCGCGACAATACGCCACGTGCTTGTCAAACTCGCGTTCCATGCGCAGGAGTGCCCGGCCGAGCATGCGCGGCTCGCCCGCGTAGTACTTTAAGCCTTCTAGTAACGCCCTGGAATAGAGAAGATGCTTAGTTTTTTAATATTAACATTTTGTTTGACCTAGGATCCATAGAATTTGGGTCATGTCATGGCGCTTTTAATAAATTACACATGAAAAAATTACAGGAAACAAGTTTTGTTTTTTGGGTTACAGAGCACATTTAACGAGCTCTCAGATTTTATATGTTACACTATTACTTCGAAATTTTGGGAACCTATTTCGATGACTCTTTTTTGTTGAAAAAGGGGTACCTCGGAGTAATGGTCACTTTTAAATTGAAAGAAAATAACCTAAAAAACGTAAAAATAAACCTAAACTAACCTCTAACGGTCACAAATTAGGGGATCAATGCGGTATATTGAAAATCACCGACTTTCCGTTAACCGATTTCAATAAAACTCGTCATATAGATGTAATAGCAACTAAAATAAAACACAGTGAAACCGGATAAGCTTACTTTTGAGGTTAGTTTTTTATAAAAAAATTATTATTATTGCGTGTAATTTTCACTTTAAAATAGTAATTATAATTTTTTTCTGCTGATAGGTCTGTTTCACCGATGGTGCAATATTTTGTACGTGCTCTAGTGTTCCACAAGGGTCGTATTCTAGAACTCTTCTCAATGCTCAAGTCAGGATTGCAATTGAAACACAAGCACTGGAAATACGACCCTAATGGCAGGAACTTGAGTATGATTTCAAGTGCTTTAAACCATACTCAAATCCTGACTTGAGCATTGAGTAGAGTTCTAGAATACGACCCTAAGTGTTCCACCCTATTAATTGGAAAACTCGAGCCGAAAAGTATCACTTAGTCCTTATTTATTTAATTATTTTGTGGCTTCGAAATAGCAATGGCGAAATCATTGTTAAAAAAAGAATTCTTTAGCGTCTTCAAATGTCATAATTACAAATTTGAATAAAATAAATGATTATTTTCAAATTATACTGACTATCTAAATCTGGAAACAAAATCTAAAGCCACTCAGGTGTGGTTGATTATTGGTCACACATTTTATCAACGAAACTATTTGTGTCGTCAAAATAAAAACTTACGTATTATGGAACTCGGCGATCTGCTTAAAGTTGGAGAAGAGCAGTTCTCTGTTATCAAACACGGGTTTGGGCGTAGCGGCCTTGTCCATAGGTTTCATGTACCGCTTGACCACCTGGTTCATGTCCCGCCCGAACTCTTCTTCTGTCTCGATTAGCTCGCGTACTACTGCCCTGAGGATAGAGAAATTAATGCCATATAGGTATTTAACAATTCTAATAACTATAATATGAGTCGAGTTATTAAGTTTTCGCGATTGTTTCAGAAATTAAACATTTTTTTTTCTAAATTTTTATTTAATTCATATTCAATTATTTTTTATGTGAAATTACTCCACTAGTTTGTTATAATTATTAATACAAAGATAGAATACTCAGAAAAATTCCTTTGATACGGCCGGATTCGAACCGACGTCTTCTAGCATACGTGCCAGACGCTATACCAACTAAGCCACAGAAAGAACCAGCGGACCTCACGAATTTTTCTATGTATTTGTTGTCGTGTCTTTGTATTTCGTTTTTTCAACGACTTCTTAGCCGTAGCGCCATCTATGAGAAATCTTAAGTATTTCTTCACCCAGTTAGATACCTTTACAGCTACCAGCCCTAGAGATGTCGCTATTCTTTGTATTTAATTTTTTTTTCGTTTCGGATATTTTACAGTTAGCAATGACCATGGGACCATGCCCTGTACTCGCGTTCTCCGTCTGACACCCGTCCAAAACAATTACTGTCAAATAAGTAATGCTCGACCAAAATAAAGACGCATTTTGCCAATGAAGTGTCATACTTGACATTGTCTTTTGATTTACTAGAGTATTACTTATTGGACAGTCATTGTTTCCGACAGATGTCGGGTGGAGGACTGGAGTAGGCCCCCTGTAAAGGGCCCGAAACGTTGGTTTACTTGGAAAAACATATTATATGCGATTTAGATTCGAAAAAATAGTTTCATTTCCTATGTATACAATGAGCACTACTACATTCGATTTCATCGCACAACGCTAGATGGCATTAGTTGTATTCTGAACCAAGTTATTGTTTTGTTCAATACTTCAAAGGCACTCATGTATTTCTCTGTGTATATCGATCAGTATTAACGAGTTAAGAGTCTTTATTTAGCTCGACCGTTTTGTCCGGTGGCGCAGTCAAGGCCACCAGTGTCCAACTACAAAATGTCCTTCTTTAGAAAAAAGTATGTACATGATGATGCTTTCTTGCTGATATTGTCTTTTCAATTCAATTTCTCGAAAAAGATCTCAATTCCTCGTTCTGCGCACTCCTGTAAAGTCTTCAAACTCATCAGCATGGTGGTATACTTAAAGTATAGTCAGCAGGTCAGGCCGAGTTGTCCTCAGTGTGCATTGCCAGATGGACCTGAGCGAATATCATAAGGATGGCCTATCACCTCTCAGAAGATTCATGTCTAGGCCTCACTGGGCCTAACCCATTTATAAGTTGTTCAGAGTTTAACTTTATCTTGGTATATTTCCAGTCGATAGATGAATTACGATTTAAAATCGTGAGCCAAGTGACTTAGTATCTATCTGTTATTCAAATTTCTGACACAATCCAGGAAACATAGGGATGCCACAGCATTACTACTGTGATTCATCAATAAACGTCCCCTTTTTCCTTGGTCCTGCATTTTGCATCGCGCTTTCTTTTGTTATCGCGCAGAGTTACCATGATTTATTTAATTTGTTCATGCTTTTAAAGTGTTTTATATTACGTCGAGTGACCTAGTGATATATATGTAGCTATATCATAATTCGCCTCAAGCAATCAGTAATAAACCGGCTTCGAACACTAACAGTTGTTTCCTTACTTCTATACCTAGCAGGGAGGTAAAATAAGTGAGGTTCAATAAATGAAACAATATAATTATAACTAAAACAACAATTAAATATAATCATAAAAACAAAAAAAGATAATTATATATTGTAAATAAACCAATAGTTTTACAGAAATTGCTGCGCCGCTGAAATAAAAAAAAAATCTTGTGTGTGGACCATTTTCACTAAGAAAATATTTGGTTTTGGTTCCGTACCTTTTCCGCGTAGACTATGGCGCCATATTATTTCCCCGCGTTAGAGCGTTTGTGTATGGACCATTTTAGTGACGCGACGTATCACTTAATTCGTTCGAAAAACACTCATGATTGCCAAAGACCCCTATCGTGACGTTTTGTTGCATTTGTTGTAGATACTGTTTGAAAAAAAAACCGCGAAAATTTCAGAATTCTTGTTCGTGATTTTCGTGATAGACACCCTCGCTAAAGATCAGGTTGCAAACCACCTTGGGGTATATTGGCCATTCTCACAATTCGGTCTACTCAGCCTAATCACAGTAGCCATTTTTTCTCGCTTATTATACCCAATAACATTGAAATATGAACACCTTTAAGCTAAACTATTAATATTTGTAAATGGTATTGGAATAGAATATACAAAGTAATTTTCGAGTTATTAAGACACAAATAATAGGGGTTAAAGTATGAAATTGCCGATTTGTACTGAAAATCTAAATTGTTTATTTTTTAAATTTTTAACAAATTTATTTAATCAAAATAGTTGCCATTATTATCTATACATTGCTGCCATCTAATGGGAAGGTTATTAATGCCTTTGCGATAGAACTCCGACGATCTAGACTGCACAAACTGTGTGAAAGCATTTTGTACTGCCTCCTGGGAAGAAAACTTCTTGTCACGTAGATAATTGTCCAAATCACGAAAAAAATAGTAGTCCGTTGGAGCAAGGTCTGGTGAATACGGAGGATGACGAATGGTTTCTAACTGCAGTTCCTGAAGGGTCAAAATGGTTTCTCGTGCTGTGTGAGGTCTCGCGTTGTCGTGGAGCAATAATGGTGAAGATCGATTCATGAGTCGGGGCTGTTTTACTGCTAGTTTTGTCAACATGGTTCGGAGTTCGGCACAATAGACATCTGCCGTTATTGCTTGACCAGATCGGAGAAAACTATAGTGAATAACACCATGCTGAGACCACCAAACAGTTACCATTACCTTTTTATTGGTAAGTTTTGCTTTAGGACACTGTTGTGGCATTTGACCTGGGGTCAGCCATTGCATTTTTCTTTTCCGGTTATCATAAAGAATCAACTTTTCATCACATGTTACAATTCGATCCAATATTCCTTCATTTCTGTACCGGTTCAACAAGGCAACACAAGTTTCAACACGCGTTTCTTTCTGCAGATCAGTCAAATCATGAGGCACCCATTTTTCGTATTTTTTTATTTTATTGATTTGACGCAAGTGAGTCAATATTGTGGGTAAGGTAACGTTAAACCATGCCGCTAATTCCTGGGTAGTTTGACTAGGATCGGCTTCCACTATCTCTCTTAATTCATCGTTATTCACCTGTGTGGGCGGTCTTCCTCGTGACTCGTTCTTTAAGTCGAAATTTCCATCACGAAAGCGTTTAAACCAAAATCGCACGGTGCGTTCATTAGTAGACCCCTCTCCAAACGCAGCATTGATATTGCGGGCTGTTTCTGCCGCGTTAGTTCCGCGTCGGAACTCGTATTCAAAAATCACTCGAATTTTCGCAGTATCCATCTTTCTTGTCTAAATTGAATAACAAAAACAATTGAAAGTCGATATTCAAATGTTTCAAATTTAAAAAAAAAAAATCACAGAAACCATTTGAAAAAAGTTTCATTCGAAAACCTCAAACCATGAAGATTCTATGAAAATTCAAAGAACCTATTGCAATAAAACGGCAATTTCATACTTTAACCCCTAATATTTTATGGCAACGGCAATTAGAAATTATTATTTTACATGGCTGCGGTAATTAGAAAGTTCAAATATTTTTACGAAAATATAAAAATTAAAATTAAAAATAACGACTAACAAAATATAAATAAGTTTCGTTACGATTTTCTACTCTTTCTGTAATAAATTACACCGAGACAAAATACGTGTTTGCTATTTTTTTTAACTTCAAAGTTTTTTTTTGTTATTATTATTATTAAAAAAGTTTGTGGTTCTGTTTAATGTTATTGATAAATAAGATAAAACCTTTAGAATAACGGTTTTATTCCACAAAAATATTTGACAACAATGAACTAAAAGACTATCAAATGTAAAGTTCAAAATAGACATTAGAAACTAAAGAGTTAGGGACCTTACGCACTAGCGGTTGGCCGCTAGGCGGTTAGACTCGAGCGGTCCAACCGCTTAACGCGGTTTCTTCGCGGTTGGCCGCCATAGCGGTCAGCCGCGATGAAACCGCCTTCGAGCGGTCCAACCGCTCGAAGGCGCGTGGCCCATAAACAAAATGGACGCCGTCGAGATAGCTTGTGTTATTTATTTTTACTCCCGAAAACAACGAAAGAAAAATAAAAAAAGATACTGGATTCATCCTTTACTAGAAACACGCAACGAATTTGGCCAGTTCGCAAGTTGTTTTCAAGAACTGAAGAAGCACCAAGATAAATTTTTCGGCTATGTTAGAATGAGTGTTTCGTCATTTGAAGAACTACTAACAGTTTTATATGACACCATCAAAGGACAAGATACTAAATTTCGTGATTGTATCCAACCCGAAGAGAAACTAGTAATAACATTAAGGTAAGTATGATAAATAAAAAAGTTTTAGTAGTTATTATGTTTTAATTTTAATCGCAATGTGGGTTCATAATTGAATTAAAAAAGTAGTAAACTATAACTATTACTGAGAATTATTATCATTAAAAAGATCTAGATAATCAGATTCTTGAGATATCTGTGAATATGTTGATTCTGGAGAGTTTACAGATTGTTCTTGATTACATGTTCCACGGTGTGTAGGTGGAACTGACGGCGGATTTCTAGCAAATAATGGTGTCTGATATCCTTGGGATGGCCCTTGGTTGTAGTTAAATGGTCGTACGTAATCCCAAGTAGAGTTACAGTAGTTGTATCCAGACGTTTGGGCTTCAGTAATGACTTGTATTATTTGAGATTTTGTACGTAGGCGTATATGTTCAGGCACTTTTTTTATTTCACTAACCAACGACAAAAAGAAAAGTCTATCTTCATCTTCTTCCGCCTTTTTCAACTCTACATTCTTATTTAAGACGTTAATCAATTCAACTCCTATATCATCTTCTTTATTTTTCTTTTTTTTTCTTTTTGGCGGTGGTACTACGACTGG